ATTAACTACATGTACTTACTGTATGGTTAGGGTTAGGATTAGGGTTACTTGCATGTAATTATGCATAATGTATTGTTAATTTAATAGTAAGTACATGTAACGTGTAACAAGGACACCTTAAAAAAACTTCTATTTTAGGGCCTCTAATGAAATTAGAGTGAAATGTACTCTAATGAAAATAATCTCACAATAGCCTGATCTTGTTCTTGATGGATTTCATGACATTCCAGAAGCTAGAAGCTAAAATAAGGCACAGTACATTGATTGTGTTGCAGGTGTTGCTATAATGATGTCAAAGCTCCTACTTCCTACTCTTCCGCTGATCTTTCTTCTCATGATTCACAGTGAGTCAGAACTATTTCTGCTTTTCAACATCCTCCAGCTCTACAGATGCTGTTGATTTGAATAATAATGGGGGGGGGAATCATTTCAGATGCTTTCAGTGGTTATTGGGATGTGAGTTACAGTCATCCACACATCTGTGCACTAAAGAACTCATCAGTGATAATGAGCTGCACTTATGCATACCCTACTGGATATCAGATCATGAAAACGTTCTGGACCAATGGGTCTGTAAAGGGTGTAGAGCCTCCAGATCTGTCTAAGGATCCTGAATACAGTCAGAGGCTTCAGTATCTGGGAGATGAACAGAAGAACTGCACCATCAGACTGAGTCATGTGACACAGAAAGATGAACACATGTACTATTTCAGATTCATAACTGATAAACCTGATAAGAAATGGATTGGTGTTCCAGGAGTAAGTCTTACTGTAACAGGTGACTTTCATGAGGTTTCACTCTTCTTCTGTGCATTATGTTGAATAATAATCAGTGTATGACAGCAGCACTAGATATAATGTGTGTGTTGTGTTCAGATCTTCAGGTGGAGTCTCCTGAGAGAGTGACAGAGGGAGATTCAGTGCGTCTGACATGTAAAAGCAGCTGCGCTCTGACTGACAGAGCAACATTCATCTGGTACAGAAACTCACAGCCATTAACTGAGAGAAGAGACGGAAACAATCAACTCCTGCTGCAGTCAGTCAGAAGAGAGGATGCAGGCAGATACAGCTGTGCTCTACACGGACACACTTACATCTCTCCTGCTGTTTATCTCAATGTCATGTGTGAGTACAGATTAAATCATATTTTTTGGCCAGTTGAGTAAATGTATTCAAATATCACATAGAGAATTCAGATTTTGTAAAAGTTTCAACAACAAAATCAGTTAGAAATGCAAAATGCAAAAAATCTATATACTGGACCTCTAGATCCTCCAAAGGAAACTTTTGTTGTGGTGAGTCCATCTGGTGAAATAGTGGAGGGAGATTCAGTGACTCTGAGCTGCAGCAGTGATTCAAACCCACCTGCAGAAATCAGCTGGTTTAAAGGAAGAATGTTTGTAGGATCTGGAAGAATCTACAGCATCTCAAAAATCAGCTCTGATCACAGTGGAGAATACAAGTGCAAGTCCAGAAATAAAAATGGAGAGAGATACTCTGATGCTGTGACTTTAAACATCATGTGTGAGTTAATGACCATTTGTACATTGTTTTCAAATTCATAATTTTCTAAAACTTATAGTGACATTTCTTTTTTGTCCTTTTTAGATCCTCCAAAGAGCGTCTCATTGTCCATAAATGGATCTGCTGAAATAGTGGAGGGAGATTCAGTGACTCTGAGCTGCAGCAGTGATTCAAACCCTCCTGCTCTGAACTTCAGCTGGTTTAAGGAGAATCAAAGCTCAGCTGTTGGATCTGGACAGAGTTTCAGTGCACTACAGAGTGGACGCTTCTACTGTGAGGCTCACAATCAATATGGATCTCAGAGATCAGACGCTGTTACTGTCACTGTACATGGTGTGTATCACTGAGCCATTCTGCGACTGGATGAGTATTTCTGCAACTGATGAGCTATGAAAAGAAGAAAATGTGTGGGGGTGAATCAAGAATTATAATATTAATTTAAAATAATACATTTTATTAATGTATTTATAATATTTCCTAAAGATAGCAAAGTTTGGTGCATGCTCAGTTTGGAGTTGGAGCAGTCACTTTAAGACACAATTCATGGATCCAATATAATGATTCACATCTTTCTCAACTGTTTATGTTCCTTTAAAACATAACCAACATTTGTTGAGGATATGGGTATTTTGACATAATTTTGTAATTGAAAAAAGTGAAAGTGAAGTGATGTTATATATATTATAAGTAATTATTTAATAAAGAGATCAATGAACGAATGTCAGTCAGTCAGTAAAATTAAGTGAAAGTTCATTTTTAAATTCTGTGAGTGTGTGGCATTTTGTGAAAGACAGGAGAAAGCGCATGCTGGAGAAGCGCATACAGATCAGAGGCACGCAGTAAAGAACGATACACAAACACCCAGGTGTTTAAGATATGCTTTTCACACTACACTTAACCTTAGTTTAATATTTTAGCTATAAAACTGGATCAGTCATTACTATGCATTTAGACTGCTTTAATTTCCAAACTTTATTAATCTTTTGAGCGGTACGGTCCCACATGTGAGATTTTTATTTCTGGGCCCCTGGTAGTACAGTCCCACATATGCACATGCAAGATGTCTGTTAAAGATCTCTTGATCTGCATCTGCTGTGTAGAAACATCTGACAGACGTCTGTAAGATGTTAGTTTTACAAACATTCTAAATCATAAACTTCTTAAAGACATAATAAACATCTAATAAACGTCTATTTGACATCTGATAGGAAATGTCCTATGGACGTATTGCAGATGAGCAAACACTCTAAAAAAATACGTCTTGCAGATGTATGCAGATGGGGGGGGGGTTGATTGCATGTGATTGTGTTGAAATGCAGCTGTACACCATGAATCATGGTTTTGGTTTCGCATAGTGTATAAAGATAAAAGCATTGTCTTGTTACTTGTCCTGTTGTAGGAAGGAAGTTTCGGTATGCAGTTGCTGGAGTCACTGGAGGATTGGGAGGTTTAATCTTCATATTCATCATTGTGTTGCTCATGTAAGTTCATGTTGTGTGTCAGGAAACACATTAGTATACCAAGCTTATTTCCTAAATGCATTTTAGATGATTCTTTATTACAGGAGGAAAAAACAGAGACCTAATCACATCGCACAAAAGCAGGTCAATCAAATTATCAAACGAGCATTAAGCAAATGTTATACACAAAGGTATTCATCCCTTTTGCCATAAATAAAAATCATTTTCTCTCATTTTAGGATGATCTTTATGTCAACGTATCAGCTCACAATAGGTCTCTGTCTGAATCTGATGCCGCGAATCAAAACAATGCCCTGTATTCCTTAATTACTCTCAGCAATTTCAGTCACAATCAGACTGAAGGAAAAGCATCTGATTCTGAAGATACAGAAGAGATCCAGTATGTAACTGTCCTGCATCATATAAACAAAGAGATGAACCAACCGGAAGAGGAGGAAAGCCAGTACGACAACATTAGAAAATACCAGACTGATGCTGCAAGGAGGTGAGAAATTCGATCATGGCATGTTCATAACATATTTAAATTTAATTGGCAGCTGTGAAGGTAATTGATGCAATATCTCTGGATATATCCATTTCACAGATGTACTGATCAGATGGTGGAGGATCAATCAGTGATTTACAGTGCAGTCAAATGATCAACGGATCAGTTTGGTGAAACTACTGTTCCTGGGAAAACTGATCTCCATGTTGACATCGCCCTCGTGTGGTGGTACTGTGGCTAGTCTGATGGTGGATTTTCATTTCTTCTTTTTTTAAAGGGGTCATATGACATTGCAAAAAAAAAAAACATTATTTGGTGTATTTGGTGTAATGAAATGTGTTTATGCGGTTTAAGGTTCAAAATACATTATTTTCCACTTACTGTACATTATTGTTTCTCCTCTATCCCCCGCCTTTCTGAAACGCTTCGATTTTTACAAAGCTCATCGTTCTGAAAAGCGAGGTGTATGCTGATTGGCAAGCTATCCAGTGCATTGTGATTGGCCGAATACCTCAAGCGTGTGACGGAACTGTTACGTCCCTTACCATACTGTGATGCCGTGTCCCGGCACGACGACACAAAACCAATAAAACCCATTATAAATTAGGCCTTTGTTGCATCCAGTGGGGACATAATTACTGATTATAATGACTTATACTGCCTTTTTCCGCGTTGCGCTGCATCGTGCCGCGTAAATATAAAACCATGTCTGCATTTGTGATCAGAGCAACGACAAACAACAAGCGCTACTCTACACTGCTCAAAACTCGTGTTTGAATCGTCAGTGGCAAATCCTTTAAATATGAAAACGTACTTACAGGCTGTGAGTCAGAAGCACCAGAATGTCCTTGCAAAGTTGGAAATGCCCCACTTTATAAAAACAGCCTTTGTGTGTAGATGGCATTGTAGGCTACTTTCTCAACAGTCCTCTGTAAAATGCGCTGCACACATCTGAATATTTGGGTTGAACTATTTTGGAACAGTGTTGTAAATAAAACTTAACCACTGATTTCTAGTCGTGTCCTCTTTTGGAAGGCCAAACAATGAAACACACAGCGTCTCCACGACAAGGCGGCGGCGGCAACAATACTACAGCGAGAATAAAAGTTATGCCTTCTTTCTTGGTGTAAACATTTGGGCGGTGTTATGCAAATGTTCCCACATAGTGAGGTAGATATGTGGGGGCGTGTTTAAACGAGCCGTTTTAGGAGGGCGTGGACG